TGAAATCACCAGAAAGTTGAGAAAAAAGAGGCACAACATGTGCACCTAACTGTTTTCAAACCATTCAGAGAGCAATGCTGCCACCTGCTGGCTCGATAAAATATGGTCTCAAGTCATCCCCATACATATCAGTTACAATAGGCATCTGGGAACGTGAAAATAGCAAAAAAGGCATTTGACGTATTAATGCGTCAATGGGACACAATGAGTTAATGCTTGTAGCATTTTTTTTTGTCTGTGTTGTTTGCACCTCTTTGACAGTTTACTTACTGAGACCAAAAACAATGTGAGCCAGATCCCATTAGGCCTTTGAGGTTAAGCAGGGATGGGTCTGGTTAGTACTGTGATGGGAGACCTCTGGGAACACCTAGTGCCACAGTGGGGCAGCTGCGGCTCAAGTTTATTCATACAGTATAGCGCCTTTCACAGACCAGGATCACAAACCAGGCTTCACGATTAAAAACATAGAATAAGAATAGAACCAAAGAGAGAACAGAGAGAGACCAGACAGAGACCAGACAGAGACACCCAAGACAGATCAGAGAGAGAGAACAAGAGAGAGACCATGAATAAACCAGAGAGAGACATCTGAGAAAAAGAGGGACAAAGAGAGAGAGACCAGAGTGAGAACAAAAAGAGACTCAAGAGACAACAGAGAGAGAGACCAGAGGGAGACCAGAGAGACACCAAAGAGAGAGAACAGTTGGAGACCAGAGAAAGAGAGAGAAACCAGAGAGATACACCAGAAAGAGAGAGACCAAGAGAGAGAGACCAGAGTGAGAACAAAAAGAGACCAGAGAGACCAAAGTGAGACCAAAGAGAAACCAGAGACCCCAAAGAGAGTCAACAGTTGGAGATCAGAGAGAGACACCAGAGAGAGACCAGAGAGAGACACCAGAGAGAGTCACCAAAGAGAGACCAGAGAGTCACCAAAGAGAGAGACCAGAGAGAGACACCAAAGAGAGAGACCAGAGAGAGACACCAAAGAGAGAGACCAGAGAGAGACACCAAAGAGAGACACCAGAGAGAGAGACCAGAGAGAGACACCAAAGAGAGACACCAGAGAGAGAGACCAGAGAGAGACACCAAAGAGAGACACCAGAGAGAGAGACCAGAGAGAGACACCAAAGAGAGACACCAGAGAGAGAGACCAGAGAGAGAGACCAGAGAGAGACTAGAGAGAGACCCCAAAGAGAGACACCAGAGAGAGACTAGAGAGAGACCCCAAAGAGAGAGAGACTAAAGTCCATTCACCTTTCACAAACCAGGCTTCACTTTTAAAAACATAGAGTAAAAATAGTGCACATACAGCTCAGTTCCCAAAAACAAGTTTACAAAATGACGAAGGTGCTTTTCAGTTGGGCCTGTGTGAGGCGAGGCGCGGAACAAGTTGAAGTCAATCAATCACAAAACGAGAAATGGTAAAACTATAAGCGTTCGTTCTTTCTGCGGCGGAATCCCGGATCCAGGGGCAGCACCAGAGCGTCAGACATGTCAGACATCCACCGCCCCACGCCCCACGCAGCCAAAGTTCAGCCTCGCAACGCGCTCCTTTGTGGGGGGCCAGGTCGTTAGCATGTCGCCCTGAATGCTAACGACCCGCACAAATATGGAGTGGGCCCGGAGCGCAGATAACAGAGCCTTCCCCTGGACTCGCACCGCAGGTCAAGGGCCGGGAAATAGTTTTGTGGTTATGCTGGTCCCTGGCAATCTCTCTCACTCTCTCCTGTGGTGTCTCTCTCTCTTGGTCTTTCTTTTTGGTCTCTCTCTCTGGTCTCATTCCACATACTCTGACAACATTATATACCTGCTAGAATAACATGGAGATTGTTTTAAGCCTCTCTCTGGTCACTCTCTGGTCTCTCTCTTTGGTCTCTCTCTTTTGTGTCTCTCTCTGGTCTCTCTTTGGTCTCTCTCTGGTCTGTCTCTGGTGTCTCTCTTTGGTGTCACTCTCTGGTCTCTCTCGTTGGTGTCTCTCTGGTCTCTCTCTTTGGTGTTTCTCTCTGGTCTCTCTCTTTGGTGTCTCTCTCTGGTCTCTCTCTTTGGTGTCTCTCTCTGGTGTCTCTCTCTGGTCTCTCTCTTTGGTGTCTCTCTTTGGTGTCTCTCTGGTCTCGCTCTTTGGTGTCTCTCTCTGGTCTCTCTTTGGTGTCTCTCTCTGGTCTCTCTCTGGTGTCTTTCTCTCTCTGGTCTCCAACTGCTCTCTCTCCTTGGTGTCTCTGGTTTCTCTTTCTTCTCACTTTGGTTTCTCTCTCTGGTCTCTCTTTGTTCTCACTCTGGTCTCCAACTGTTCTCTCTCTTTGGCCTCACTCTGGTCTCCCTCTGGTTTCTCTCTCTGTTGTCTCTTGAGTTTCTCTCTCTTTGTCCCTCTCTTTCTCAGGTGTCTCTCTCTTGGTCTCTCCCTCTTTCTGGTGTCTCTCTCGGTTTTTTTTCTTGTTCTTTCTCTTTGATCTGTCTTGGGTGTCTCTGTCTGGTCTCTCTTTGGTCTCTCTCGCTGGTCTCTCTCTGCTCTCTCACTGTACTTTTTCTGGTCTCTCTCTCTGGTCTATCTTTAGTTTGTCTTTGGTCTCTCTCTCTCTTGTTTCTCCTTAGTCTCTCTCTTCCAGAACTTTGACTACAAACGCTGCTCCACAACAGTCTGACACACTGAGCTGAACTTTACTTTTACACTTAAACCAACAGGAACCATAGCGAGTGGGGCCAAACTTCATCCATGAGCACTTCCCTACCAACCTCCACACACATTCTCTATGACTCCACCCGTCCCTCTGCCCCTGAAGAGAAACAAGACCTGCTTAAAAACTACTGCGCATGTGTCTGAACGCCGCAATAAAAAACTTTGCTACAAATGTAATTTTTTTCAACTTGTGTCTGATCCAATGAAGCCACAAAAACAGGAAGTGAAAGCACCTTTGAGAATCGTGCAGATGTGTGAAGAAGACAGCGGCGTCTCCCAGGCCCCGTTTGAAGCAAAAGTTTTTGACTATTTTTTTCTCCTTCTTGATATCTTTAACACACGCCACACAAATACATTATTCATGTCAATTAGCGTTTCATCTGCGGAGATTGGGATTCGTGTGATCCCCTTTAACAACGGTTTGTGTGATGGTAAAACAGACGAGCGCCGCCGTAGCCCGAGGCGCGGCTTTTTAAAGAACGCTGGGGCTCGCCGCACCTCGCATCTGCATTTTAAAGAAGCAAGATGGCCGCCGGATCACACGACTGACGGAAAGACGTCCAGGAGAGTGGACGGTAGCTGTGGGCCTCGTGATGCGCCGCCCCACGGGATTAAAAAAAAAGTTTATTAGAAATGGGTTCACTAACAACAGACCAGAGACCAGAATGAGACTAGAGAGAGACTAGAGAGTGACTGGAGATAGACTAGAGAGACCAGAAAGAGAGACCAGAGAAAGAGAGACGAGAGGGGGACTGGAGAGAGACTAGAGAGACCAGAGAGACACCAGAGAGATGAGACGCAGACCAGAAAGAGACACCAGAGGGACCAGAGAGATGAGAGGGAGACTAGAGAGACCAGAGGGACAAGAGAGAGACACCAGTGAGACCAAAGTGAGACTAGAGAGAGAGAGATGAGAGAGTGACTAGAGAGAGACCAGAGAGACAAGAGAGAGACCAGAAAGAGACCATAGAGAGGCAAAAGCGAGCCACTAGCGAGAAACTCGAGTGCGACAAGTACAATGTTTGTGTGTGTGGTTCTATTTTGATGCAGAGGGTCTGAGACAGTAATGATACATGACATTTATTCACATTTATTGACATTTGTGCTCATTCAGCTCTAGGTCTCTTTCTGATCTCTCTCTGGTCCCTCTCTCTCTAGTCTCTCTCTGGTCTCTCTTTGAACTCTCTGGTCTCTCTCTGGTCTCTCTCTGGTCTATCTCTGGTCTCTCTTTGGTTTCTCTCTGGTCCCTCTCTGGTCTCTCTTTGCTCTCTCTCTGATCCCTCTCTGGTCTCTACTCTACTCTGGGATTATAATCTACTCTTATTCCCAAAGATAAAGAGCTTCCACAGCCACATTTTTAGACATATTTCATTTTACTTTTCAGCCGTTCTCTCCCATGTTCAGGGTAAGAACCATTTTTCTCTGGTCCTCCAACGCCGCAGACTTCGAAACACATTCTCTGGATCTGGATCAGTCTGAGAATTTTTTGTAAAAACTTTTGGGCAAAACATCCCAACTCTGAAACATCTCCCCGGTCCCCGCCGCGGCCTGAGCAGTCGTTTTGACAGCAGTGGTGCAGTCGTGGCCGCCGCATCGCTCTGAGCATGTGCTGTCCTCTCGCCATCTCGTGCTCGCCTCTGATTGGCCGACGCCCCCCGGCTACACATGCCCTGCTCTACACAACTGCTGCTGCTGCTGCTACTGCTGCTGCTGCTGCTGCTACTGCTGCTGCTGCTGCTGCTGGTGTGTACAGGGAACGGGAGGATAGACAGTTCTGAAGCAAGAGTGTCAAAACAAGCTGAAAAGTTTGATGAGGAGAGAAACAAAAGTAAAATATGTGTGAAAATAATGGAGAAAATGTACAAAAACCTGGATTATTGGCTTTGAGATAAACACATACACGGACACACACACAAACACACATATGCACGGTCACAACTACTATGCCTATAAATATTTTGAAAGATTTTGATTGATATTGAAGCATTTACAGCAAAGTTATAGCTTATTTTATTACTACTACTACTACTGCTAGTTATTATGTACTGTATATCTTGTACTTACTTACTAACCATTACTACTGTCCTGTATGTGAGCTGCTCTTATCTCATCTTGAAACTACTGCAGTGATTTAGGGCGACAGGGTGACTCGAGTACGAAAAACTAACGGCAAGCTTCTGAAGGCGGTGGTGGAAGTCTTCCTCCGCCCAAGTTTGAAACAAGTCAAGCGCCTTCATTACAAAGCCCTGATGCGTTGGTCCGGTGACGGTTCTGCCCCGGGGCCAGTCCAGCACGCTCCCAAAGCCCCCCCCCCGCGCTCTCTTGTCTAGGCCGTGGCGCTCGGGTCACCTCGGCCTCGGACTTGGCCCCTGATGATGTCCGGTGGGCCGGGGATGCTCAGTGACAGCGCAGGGGGAAGGAGGAGGAAGAGGGAGGGGGGGGGGTTCATTAGTGCCATGGCGTTCACCGAGGAGGAAGTAGAGTCGGAGTGGCACAGACTGACGCCCGGCGAGATCACGCAAACGAGACGAGCGAGACCACGCCGCATCGGAAAGAGGAAAGTTGGCTGTGTGACCGGGAAAAGTTTGAGGAGAGATAGAGGAAGGAGGGAGAGGAGAAAACGAGGGGAGAGAGAGGGGAGAGAGAGGGGAGAGAGAGGAGGGAGAGGAGGGAGAGAGAGGCTGGGAGTGATACTGCTTGATCTAGTGTACACAGTTGATGTACATGTAACATCACCTCATGAGTCCAAATAATGTGGAGAGGAAATAATAGCTGGAGGCTAGAGATGAGAGAGACACTAGAGAGAGACTAGAGAGAGACCAAAGAGAGACCAAAGAGAGACAAGAGAGAGACCAAGGAGTCACCAAAGAGAGACCTTAGAGAGACTAGAGAGAGACTAGAGAGAGACCAAAGACAGACCAAAGAGAGATCAAAGAGAGACCAAAGAGAGATCAAAGAGAGACGAGAGAGAGACCAAAGAGAGACCAAAGAGAGATCAAAGAGAGACCAAAGAGAGACTAGAGAGAGACTAGAGAGAGACCAAAGAGAGACCAAAGAGAGACAAGAGAGAGACCTTAGAGAGACTAGAGAGAGACTAGAGAGAGACTAGAGAGAGACCAAAGAGAGACTAGAAGGAGACCAAAGAAGGACCAAAGAGAGACTAGAGAGAGACCAAAGAGAGACCAAAGAGAGACTAGAGAGAGACCAAAGAGGGACCAAAGAGAGACTAGAGAGAGACTAGAGAGAGACCAAAGAGAGACCTGAGAGAGACTAGAGAGAGATCAAAGAGAGACTAGAGAGTGACTAGAGAGAGACCAAAGAGAGACTAGAGAGAGACTAGAGAGAGACCAAAGTGGGACTAGAGAGAGACTAGAGTGAGACTAGAGAGAGACCAAAGAGGGACCAAAGAGAGACTAGAGAGAGACCAAAGAGAGACTAGAGAGAGACCAAAGAGACAGGTAAGAGACTTAAACTATAGAAAGACCAGAGACCAAAGAGAGACCAAAGTGAGACTATAACAGGTAAGAGACCAGAGAGAGACCAGAGAGAATCAAACAGAACACAGGAAATGCAACAATAACAAACACACAGGAGCCGTGGGTCGACAGGGAGCGCTTTGACCACTGTCCAGGACCTGTGAATATTCCATTTGCAAAGTCCACAGAGACAAAGCTCCGTATTTTTCCCGGAGAAGATGGAAGTTTAGGACCCAAATCATCACATCTTGAACGACAGGATGCCCGGGCCGAGCGGAGAGAGAGGTCCGAGTGGGCACAGTCCGCAGCACACATGGCAGTACCACCCCCCAGCCCCCACCCACCCCCCAAAATCTCAAATCGTCACCCAAAATGCCCCATTCCTTCCACCCACACACACACACACACACACACACACACACACGCACACACACACACACACACACGCACACACACGGCCATCCCCACCTCTCTTTTCCTTCGCTCAGGGACACAAATGTGAGCTTACAGTCAGACTCGCACACCGGCTGGGACCCCGGGGCCATGTGCCAGCCCCCACCCCTACCCCCCACCCCCCACCCCCACCACTACCATACCAGCCGGGCTGAAATAGTGACACAAGAGCCAAACACATGCTAACTACGGCCGCACTTGTAAAGTATGGTAATGAAATTCAACGACAGCTAGTTTGCGCGGACAAGGTGGCGAGCAGGAGGGAGTTCGACAAGAAAAGTGAGCTGAGAAATGTTGGAGACCAGAGTGAAAGTATTCAGAGCGGTGCGGGATTAGTTAATTTGGTGGACTTTTGGATTATTAAAACAACAGAAACTTTAATTTCTCCGATGGTTTTAAAATATATGATGTGTGAGTTTTGAATATCGATCTGAAACACGAGACGTTTTCTCCGAGTTAAAGATTAAACTGTTGTGTTCCAAAAGGCTTATGGCAATTTTCATGATGTTTTTTTTCTCTAATTGCTTGGTTACTAAATGTTTTGCCATTGGATAGGTACATAGTGGCATTTCAAACCGACTGAAATCGGTCTTTGGGAAACCTCACTTCGTTTCAGGGACTTTTACCGTCAAACTGAATCTCAAGCATTTGGTAAAAGCCTAAAATGAAAGAAAAACTAGGGCTAGAAATAAATGTGTTATTACTTAAATCTTAGAAAATACAATCCAAATTCTTTTTTTCCAGGAGGGAGCATGCCTTGAATAACACTTAGCATTTCTCATTCTTTTTTATTCCATTCCATGCATCCATTTTCTTTCCCTTTATCCATTTCTGGGTTGGGGGGTTGCAGTCTTAGCCTTGATAAAGTGAGGTTAAGTGTCTAGCCCATGGACACAACGACAGCAGACATCAGTGGGAGTCGGTGGGGATGGTCGCACATGTCTATACCAGGGGTGTCCAAACTTTTGACTAAGAGGGCGCCACTTTAGTTTAGACTTTTCCAGGGACCAACAACGTCAACCCATCAATCAATCAACTTTTAAAACCAATTTAAAAACACACACAAAAGACAATTTAAAAATAAATAAATGCATAAACTTATATATTAATAGTAAAATGATGATCCGTTGCCTGATGATCAGCCATAACGAAAAACAACATGCCTGTGGAAGTTGGCTGGATGACACTGTGAACTTGTGTTTTAAATCTCTAGTATTTTGGGTTAGCCAGGCATAGGGCCACATTGAACGACACAGTGGGACGCAATTTACCCTCGGGCCTGAGTTTGGACGTGCCTGGTCTATACCCTCTAAGTCAGGGGTCTGTAGCTCGGGGTTCACCAGTAGCTCACAGACTGGTTGCCTTGCTTCTGTCAGTGTGCCCCAGGGCAGCTGTGGCTACAGTTGTAGTTTATCACCACTGTGTTTGGAGTGAAAGAATAATGACATGTGAAGCGCCCCAAATAAGCGCGGTATAAAACCAATGCATTATTATTAAGTACAACAGCTGAACTCGCGATTCCATTTACAGTCATTTACAGAGGTTAATGCATTGGCAAGCGTACGAAGCCATGTATCGGAAATGCGATCCACGCCGTCATAAACAGGAGCGACGGGTTAAATCTGAGTTCAGAGCGATGTGTAACTATACAGTAAGTCCCGCTGTTACCTTTGAGGCTTCTATTGCAAAAACACAAACGCAACTCTCAGAAAGTCTCCACTTGGCACCGGAGTCGTCTTCCCCTTTCAACCAATCGCTCACGACGTGGCGGAAGTAGGTTTTGGCTGCTTTGCGGAGTCCTCAGAAGGTGATCGGGATCTCTGGCAGTGCAAAAACAGAGTAAACTGGAGGAGAAAGAGAAGAAAAAATAATGAATTAAAAAAAGACGCCCACGCTAGTTGACACGACTCTGTTTCGCCCGGCTTCCTGTGCAAATTTGGACATGATCACTGGTGAGAAGAGCCGTAGGGGGTCCTGGCTAGCTCGCCAACTAAAGATGGGGATGGTAAGTACGTGTTTTTTTTTTTTTTGCATGCATAGTTTTGCATGTTAGCGTGTGAAGTAGAGAGAAAGTCCGCACACACACAAACACACACACACACACACACACGGAGACAGCTAGTCCACGCTACTTCTTTTTAATAGTATGCAGCGTTACACAAATGGCAAGGATCGGAATTCCTCCAACTCCTCCGGCTCCTACTCGAGGTGAAAATATCCCCCGTAAAGCGCTAGCACAATAGCCGCTCTGATTGAATAATACGTTAGCGCTGGAGGCTTTGATCTGCCGAAAAAAAAAAAAAAAAGCAGGGAAAACGCAAACTTAAATTTTGTTCCGATTAAGGGCTGTTCAAAGCCGCAAATGCGACGGCTGGGATTTTTTTTCTTTTTTTTTTTTTCTTCCACCTTTTTAAGTCCCTGGAGTGCGGAATCATTACTCTCCACATAAGGCTCAGTGGAAGTAAAGCCAATCATTAAATAAAACGCGGCAGGAAAAATACACCTAATTACGTGCCCGCGGTAATTCCAGCGTTTTGAGCGTCCTGCCCCTCGACTTTTACAGAAGCAAAGTAAAAGAAATCGTCAAATGTTGCGGGGATTACGAGGAGCGAGAGAGAGAGAGAGAGAGAGCGTCGGGAGGTTTCTGTGGATCTGTCAAGGTTTCTCTCAGGTCTTAAGAGGGATAATTCCAGGCAGGACAGGAGAAAGTGCAGAGGTTGGAGAAAACACAAGTTGAAGTTGGGTTTTTTTTGGTTGTTTGAGAAGCGGGCGATTACTAATGCTAATGTGCATGTAGTGTTTCTCAAGCAGGGGGTGTGGTACTTTGTCTGAGGTGTGCAAAAAGGTGACACGGAGTAGTATTTGAGTGAGAATTTTGCTGATTTGCAAACTTCACGTAGTCTGGTCAGAGAGACGCGGCTAATGTCGTGTTAATTAGAATTTGAACAAGAAGTATAAGATTAAAAAACACACACATTTGCTAAAAGTGTAGAACAGGGGAAAAGCTGAAGGAATAACACATTTTCCTGCCGCTGAGTAAATATTTTTTTTTCTTTTATTGCGTGTTTAACAGACTACAGTTTTTTTACAATGATTTGGAGGTTCTATGCTTCCATTTCCTTCATTCTGTTACTAAAGGGTTTTGAGTACAAATACTACTACTCCAAATGTATACGTATATTACTGTGTTATTAAATAAATGGGTGAACTGGACTTAAACTGGTTAAATGAAAATGATTTAACTTTTGAATCCATCTATACTGAAAAATATAGATTTTTAAAAATATTATTATTCGATTATTTTTAAGATTGTTTAAACTTAGTGAAATGTATTTATGATTTTGTTGAGATTTGCCCAAATTTCAGTTAAAATTCAACCATGTTCCTGGACTTTTGGCCCGATTTAAAACACAAACTGGATTAAAAAATGTGTTAAAAAGACAGAGCAGCGTCTCCACGTCCTGCACTGAGGACGAGTTTGAGCTGAGAACAAAAAAAGTAATTTTTAAAATCCTTCCTCTCTCCCTCTCTCCCTCTTCTCCAGTCCTTCTCTCCCTCCTCCTTCCTCTCCCCCTTTTCCTGGTCTTCCTCAGCCTCCCCATCCTTCCTCTCTCCGTCTACCCCATCCTTCCTCTCTCCCCATCCTTCCTCTCTCCCCATCCTTCCTCTCTCCCCATCCTTCCTCTCTCCCCATCCTTCCTCTCTCCCCATCCTTCCTCTCTCCCCCATCCGTCCTCTCTCCCCATCCTTCCTCTCTCCCCCATCCTTCCTCTCTCCCCCATCCTTCCTCTCTCCCCATCCTTCCTCTCTCCCCATCCTTCCTCTCTCCCCATCCTTCCTCTCTCCCCCATCCTTCCTCTCTCCCCATCCTTCCTCTCTCCCCATCCTTCCTCTCTCCCCATCCTTCCTCTCTCCCCATCCTTCCTCTCTCCCCATCCTTCCTCTCTCCCCATCCTTCCTCTCTCCCCCATCCGTCCTCTCTCCCCATCCTTCCTCTCTCCCCATCCTTCCTCTCTCCCCCATCCTTCCTCTCTCCCCCCCATCCTTCCTCTCTCCCCATCCTTCCTCTCTCCCCATCCTTCCTCTCTCCCCATCCTTCCTCTCTCCCCATCCTTCCTCTCTCCCCATCCTTCCTCTCTCCCCCATCCGTCCTCTCTCCCCATCCTTCCTCTCTCCCCCATCCTTCCTCTCTCCCCATCCTTCCTCTCTCCCCATCCTTCCTCTCTCCCCATCCTTCCTCTCTCCCCATCCTTCCTCTCTCCCCATCCTTCCTCTCTCCTCCATCCTTCCTCTCTCCCCATCCTTCCTCTCTCCCCATCCTTCCTCTCTCCCCATCCTTCCTCTCTCCTCCATCCTTCCTCTCTCCCCATCCTTCCTCTCTCCCCATCCTTCCTCTCTCCCCCATCCGTCCTCTCTCCCCATCCTTCCTCTCTCCCCATCCTTCCTCTCTCCCCCCATCCTTCCTCTCTCCCCATCCTTCCTCTCTCCCCATCCTTCCTCTCTCCCCATCCTTCCTCTCTCCCCATCCTTCCTCTCTCCCCCATCCGTCCTCTCTCCCCATCCTTCCTCTCTCCCCATCCGTCCTCTCTCCCCATCCTTCCTCTCTCCCCCATCCTTCCTCTCTCCCCATCCTTCCTCTCTCCCCATCCTTCCTCTCTCCTCCATCCTCCCTCTCTCCCCCATCCTTCTACTCTCCCCCATCCTTCCTCTCTCCCCCATCCTCCCTCTCTCCCCCCATCCTCCCTCTCTCCCCCCCGTCCCCGCTGCCTGCTCCGTACTCTTTGATATGAGGCGGTGTAATTACACCTAAGAGCATTCCGGAGCAGATTTAAGTATGATTTGCAGATCGTGAACTGTTTTTGAAAATGACTCTTAATATAATTATCTGTTCGGCCTAATCCCTGCAGGCCGCGGAGAGGAGCCAGAATTACACCGGGACAAGTCGGAGAAAAGAGGCTGGCGTCGTCTTTACAAACAGGTGAAGGGAAAGAAAGTTGTTAATATTCCGGAAATATGATTATTTACGTGTGTTTAGGACGTTAAGAAAAAACTGATGGAAACTGGTAAAAATGCAAAAATATATATCATTATGTAGCTCTTGTTTATCGGAGCACAGGGACTGGCCTCCTGGTGGGACTCTGAGGAGCACAGGGACTGGCCTCCTGCTGGGACTCTGAGGAGCACAGGGACTGACCTCCTGCTGGACTCTGAGGAGCACAGGGACTGGCCTCCTGCTGGGACTCTGAGGAGCACAGGGACTGGCCTCCTGGTGGGACTCTGAGGAGCACAGGGACTGGCCTCCTGCTGGTCCCAGAGTCAGGACTAAACATGAGGAGGCAGCGTTTCAGATTTACAAAGCTAAAATATGGATCAGTCTTCCTGAAAATGTAAGATTGGCTTCTTGACAATATTCAAAATTCAGGCTGAAGTGGGTTCTGTTTTGCAAGGACTTTATCTCTACTCTTTATAATGTGCTGTAGTTATTTATGATTTTAATCCTTTGTGTGATGTTTATGTTTATGATTTATAGGATGAGTTTTGTGTTTTCTCGTGTAGGAAAAGTCCTCTACAAAAAAGATTGGTGGATTTATTGATTGTTTGATATTATTATGTGAAGTTTCTCAAGTTTCTCTAGTTTGTGAGAAAAAAATAAATTTCAGGTGAAACTTCTCAAATTTGACTAACAAAGTTCCAGACACACTTCAAACCCGTCCTGGTTCAGACCTCACTCAGACATGGCTCAGACCTGGCTCAGACTTGGCCCAGTCCGGACTCAGACCTGCAGGCTCGGATCTGGCTCACACCTGGTGCAGACTCTGTTCATCCCTTGTTGGGACCTGGTTCAGACCTAGCCTGGTCGTACCATACCATGGTACAAATTACATTTCGTACTAAGGTCTGAATTTTGCCCGAGTGAGTTGTTAGCATTTAGCCTAGCTTTAGCCCTCTCTTTTGGATTAGCCCGTGGGGAGTAGCGCCTCGATCTTTGCAGCGATTACATTTACTTTACTATCACATTTTTCGCCATTGACAAACTACAACCTTCCCGTTCGACGCAATCTCTTGTCGTCACCCACAACTAACTACAACACCCGCCTCCTGCGCTCTCTGATTGGTCGGATGGAATTCTACCGATTGTAATGGCAAACACAGGGACCAGACCCAGATGTTACATGCAGAGAAATTATGATGGACCGGAGTGTATGGATGGATAAGGCCAGGCTACTTCAGACCTGGTTCCGACCTGATTTGTTATATATACATTTTGATAATTCTCTCGCAGTAAAATAAACAAAAAAAAAAACAATTTTACTTGAATAAAGTAAAAAAATCTTAAAAATTACAAGAAAAAGAAAAAAAAAAAGGGTTGGCTCTGGTCACTTTATAACGAGTCTGTATCATATTGGTTTCACAACTTCAGAAATAAATTCACTTTTGATCTGTATACCATATGTCTGTGTATGTCCCATGTACACACACACACACACACACACACACACACACACACACACACACACACACACACACACACACACACACACACACACTTCCATATCTTTCCACATATTTTTACAGTGTCTTTCTCTTTTTTCTTCGTGCTTAATTACAGAAGATATTTCCTTGTCAAAAAACAGTGAGTCCAGAGTCTCATTAAATCCTGGAGACATGTGGCGTATTAGTGGATCCGACCCGGGCAGCCATCCACCGCCGCGGACAGGAGGCCGCCATAAAACATGCATGGACTTCTCTCAAGAACAGCGGCTGGATTTATAGAAGAGCGGAAGGACTGGGATCACCAGAAAATGTGTAATTATTCTATATTTTCAATGACTGAATAGGGTTAAAGGAGAAAGTTTACAGTGAAAGTAGGATTAGAAGCTTCAATATACAGTAATAATAGGGTTTGAGACCCTAGTATTTAGTAATAATAGGGTTTGAGGCCCCTGCATACAGAAATCATATGGTTTGAGGCCCCAGTATACAGTAATAATAGGGTTTGAGGCCCCAGTATACAGTAATAATAGGGTTTGAGGCCCCAGTATACAGTAATAATAGGGTTTGAGGTCCTAGTATACAGTAATAATATGGTTTGATGCCCCAGTATTCAGTAATCATAGGATTTGAGGCCCCAGTATTCAGAAATCATAGGGTTTGAGGCCCCAGTACTCAGTAATCATAGGGTTTGAGGCCCCTGTATAAAGTAAGCATAGGGCTTGAGGCCCCAGTACTCAGTAATCATAGGGTTTGAGGCCCCAGTATACAGTAATGATATGGTTTGAGGCCCCAGTATTCAGTAATCATAGGATTTGAGGCCCCAGTATTCAGAAATCATAGGGTTTGAGGCCCCAGTACTCAGTAATCATAGGGTTTGAGGCCCCTGTATTAAGTAAGCATAGGGCTTGAGGCCCCAGTATTCAGTTATCATAGGGTTTGAAGCCCTAGTATTTAGTAATAATAGGGTTTGAGGCCCCAGTATTGAGTAATAATAGGGTTTGAGGCCCCAGTATTGAGTAATAATAGGGTTTGAGGCCCCAGTATTCAGTAATAATAGGGTTTGAGGCCCCAGTATTCAGTAATAATAGGGTTTGAGGCCCCAGTATACAGTAATCAAAGGGTTTGAAGCCCCAGAATATATCGGAAGAATTATACTAGCCTGAAATGTCGGGGTAGTAGCATGTTTTCAATCTCCATCACCATAATTCATATTTGTGTACAGAAGATTGAACAATAAGCTTGTAAAAATGCAAAAGCAAAAGAATACAGAGAAAGCAAAAAAAAAAAACACAGACAAGATCAGACTCTTTTCAGTGTTGCTCCCAAACCGGTCTGACCACTCCGGTCCCAGTCTGTCGATCCGGCGGCTAAAAAAATAGTGCGTGGAAAATTCCCCAAATAAAATCACGCACCTGACCCACAATTCACTCACAACTTGAGCCGTGAAAAACTATCTATGAAGAAAACCTGTTGGAATATTTAGCAAAAAAGGGTTGAATGATCTGGTGTTAATATCAGGGCAAATTCAGACCATTTTCTTCAGCGGTTTTTCTCCAAATCTTACCGAAGCATTTACAGTAGCATTTACTTTGGACTAGAGCTGTAAAAATGGTCCGAACAATGCGGCTGCTCCATCTTTTGACCCTTCTTACTCCACCCAGAGGCTTCTCCACCTGTGCTGCTGTGACCTGAAAGGCTGTTGCTGATTATTTCTATTGTTAGCTTTCTAGACTGCTACTGGACACCTGAATTTCTATCTATGTATCTATGTATCTATGTATCTATGTATCTATCTATCTATCTATCTATCTATCTATCTATCTATCTATCTATCGCGAGTTTGAGTTATTGATTAAGAACTCAGAATTGTAGAACTGAGAGAAATGATGAAATCCACGTCGAGACAAAACACCGATGAGCATCAGGACCGGCCACTTTGTCTCAGGCCCTGGTTTCATCGACTTCCAGCGGCCCTCTATCGCCCCTCTGTACCCCCCCCCCCCACCCACACACACACACATCTCTCCCCCACACCCGTAATGAGGCTGTTCTCTGTACCCAGCTGGGCCCCGGCACGTCGGCCGTGATGCGGCATTCTAATCCCCGGTCAGGCCGCAGAGGCGCGCACCAGGACGGAGAATGTGGTTGTGTGGATCCAAACATGCAACCACGTTCCCCTCGGAAGGGTTTGGGAGCGGGTGATGGGGGGGGGAGGGGGGGAGAGAAATAGGAAATGTTTTGAGGAGTTTTGCGGTGGTTTTCGGAAGCGAGCGGTGAGCGGTGAAAAGCTGGATCAAAATTGTATCACATAATCTGGTGTTTAGACTCTGTGATTCCAGGTGCAAAAAAAATCTATTGTGTCCATTCTCTGGTTCATTATCATTGGCTCAAAGTTCATTATTAATCATAACTTTATTTCAACACATGTATGTAAAATTGTATTAGTTTGAGTTTTTCTTTAGTTTTTTTTTTCAATTATTTTAAATGTATTTGTGGATCGCCCTAAATCACAAGATCAGTCATTTTGGAGGAGTTTAAAAAGTTGTGGATTCACCAACAACAAATCCGAGAATCCTACATTTCAAACACAAGTAATAAAATAATAACAACTACATAGAAGCCATTGGTCCAGAGCGAACGGGACGACCACGGTCCAGAAATATTAATAAACGTCCTGGATCATCCTTGTCCTTAGACCCTCCTGTCAGCAACGAACCACTCATAAAAACCCAAGGAAGATTGAGAGAGAAATCTGCTCCCAGGACTGAGGCTGTAGACCCAGGACTGAGGCTGTAGACCCAGGACTGAGGCTGTAGATCCAGGACTGAGGCTGTAGACCCAGGACTGAGGCTGTAGACCCAGGACTGAGGCTGTAGACCCAGGACTGAGGCAACAGCTCAAACAGGAGAAAAAAAACTACAATTTCATGAAGTTGTAAAACATCTCAATCCCCATAAGCCCAAACATATGGACGATTTAGACCACACAATGCCATTTCGTTGTCATGCGAGATTGCCTGGACTAAACTTTTTGCGTGAAAATTCCAATCTTGGACAATATTTCACACTTGTATTGTATCTCCCGAGCGGCAGGCGACGCGGCACATTCCAATAACCAACACAAAACATGAGTGAGTTCCTTTGTGGCCCGGCTCGGAATGATGACACTGGCTTCTTACATTCATATCGAGGGCCCATCTCTTTCCATTACAGCCACACTGGCCCGCATTGTCCCGGGGCAGCTGCGGGGAGAATGGGCCGATGTGACATGTAAATGACGGAGTTACGAGCCGGGGCAAGTGCCGGGCCGCGCCGTCTCCGCGTGCCGATGACTGTTGTATTGTTCGCTGTGACGTTACACACCGCCGTCGGTCTGACCTTAGCGTGTGTAATGCTAAAGAGATGCTAACGCGGCGTGATAACGGAGGAGGCTGTTGTGGGACGGGGGAATTGGAAGTTGCTTTGGTTTGATTGTGAGAATGTGGGATGATATGTAAATCCCATGTTTTTTTCTTATTACAAATCTTGTGTATGCTTCTGAGCAAGAGCCCTGTGAGTCACTGTTGGACGATTTGGGGCTGAGAGGTGATTGGCTGAGAGAGGGCGGTCCTCTCTGTGACACTTTTCTGTCTGAAAACAAGTGTTAGAAGCAAAGTGAGATCAGAGAGAGAGCAGAGAGGGACCAAAGAGGGAGCAGAGAGAGACCAGAAAGAGAGAACAGAGAGGGAGCAGAAAGAGACTAAAGACAAACCAGAGAGAGACTGAAGAGAGAGACCAGAGAGAGAGAGCAGAGAGAGACTGAAGAGAGAGACCAGAGAGAAAGAGCAGAGAGAGATCAAAAAGAGACCAGAAAGAGACAAGACAGAGAGAGAGAGAGACCAGAGAGAGACCAGAAAGAAACCAGAGCGAGAGCAGAGAGAGACCAGAGAGAGACCAGAGAGAGACCAGAGAGAGACCAGAGAGAGACCAGAGAGAGACCAGAGAGAGACCAGAGAGAGACCAGAGAGAGACTAGAAAAGACAAGAGAGAGAAAGAGAGAGAAGAGGAAGACCAGAGAGAGATGTGAAAAAGGCCAAATAATACATGAATGAATGAATGCATGTGACAACTAGTGATAGAAGCACACTGAGACCAGAAAGAGACCAGAGAGAGAGACCAGAAAGAGACCAGAGAGAGAGACTAGACAGAGCCCAGTAAAAGCCCAGACTGAAGCCAGACAGTCCAAACAATACAATAAAATAAAACAGATTTAGAGCGACAACTATGGATTTTGGGGAGTGAAAAATCAGGTACCTGAGCTTTAACTTATTGTGTAGTAGAAATGAAATCCTGAATGTGATTTGCCTCTCCCCCTCCCTCCCCCTCCCTGCCCCTCCCTCCCCCTCCACAGCTGGCCTCTCCTCAGACCGCTCCCATTGGCCGCTCCCCACCCACCGGTCACCTCTCTTCCTGCCGTTCGGAGCCCGGGAGTCTGTCCGGGTGCCAGTCCTTGTCCAGCGGTCAGACTGGAGCATATGTGGGATATGGAAATGCGGCTGCCGAGGTCACGGGTTCGAGTCCACGGTCAGAAAAGTGTTGAGACCAGCAGAAGTCCGGCAGCACTCCTGACCTGACCGCTGCCGACATCTGCCTCCTCCCACAGTCCAACAAGTTTAAACTGGGCTTTAGAACTGTACAGCCATCTTTGAAACAGCGAGACGTCCACAATAGACAAACAGTACAAAGATTATTATGTGTGAGAGCGACTTTAGTTGTGTATAAATGCATATAATAAAATAAAAGGAAAGGGAAAAGTCATAATAATGTTTAGAGAAAAGGAGAAGTTCCATTGGGTTTCTACTTTTCTCTCTAAAAAAAAAAAAAGAAAAGAAGAGAATATACAGTAGATTGGGAAAGACAGTTGGTAGAGAGCATTGGCCTTTGAGCCTGAAGGTCGTGGGTTCGATCCCCCCCACGAGACCTTGTCCAACTGCTCCCACTCATGTCTGCTGTCGGTTTGTGTCCTTGGGCAAGACACTTAACCCCACTTTGTCTGAAGCTGAAAGACCAAGGCTGTGTCGTCGCAGACGGAGCAGCAGCCATCTTTCCTGCGGACCCACCACCTGCCGGAGGATCAGTGAGGGACTGATCACACCACTCCCCACTCCCCCCCGAAACAGAAATGGACAAATAACGGGTTAGAATATGAACGAATGAGATGAAGAATTGGTTCTATGTTTCTATCTATTATAAAGATTGTAATGGCAATACTAATCAGACAGTTGTTTCTCATTGTTTGCTGTTTGTTTATGAGCCATGGTCCATCACACTGGATCAGGCCAACAGGACATGTCACTAATTTGTCTAAAAGGAAGCTCAGGATTTAGTGCCTATAAAGCAGAGCAGGTGAACCCAGGCTCACCTGAGGGGTCAGCACCACGGACAGCTCCAGAGGCCGACCTGAGCCACTGCGGACAGCGCCAGGTGCTGGAACCATGAAGGTGGAATCTGTGTTTCCCTTCTCTCGCCTATTCTGCATGTTTGATAGTTTTATTTTTTATAATATAACAACAAAAGAGTGGTCTTATCTTTCAGGCCTCTTTCTTAAGTCTCTCTCTGGTCCATCCCCATCTTGAACCCTCTCTGGTGTCACTGGTCTCTCTCTCTGGTGAATCCCTTTCTTTGGTCTCTGGTCTCTCTTGTCTCTGTCTCTGGTCTTGCTCTCTGGTCTATCTAGCTTTGGCCTCTCTCTGGTCTCTCGCTGGTCCCTCTCTTTGATCTCTCTCTCTCTGGTCCATCCCCATCTTTGAACCCTCTCTGGTTTCACCGGTCTCTCTCTCTGGTCCATCCCCATCATTGGTCCCTCTCCGGTTTTTATGGTCTATCCATTTCTTTGGTCTCTGGTTCCTCTCTCTGATCCCTCGCTCTTTGGTCTATCCCCATCTTTGGTCTTTCTCTGGTTTCACTGCTCTCTCTCTCTCTCTCTCTCTCTGGTCCATCCCCATCCATGGTCTCTCTCCGGTGAATCCCTTTCTGTGGTCTCTGGTCTCTCTTGTCTCTCTCTCTTCTCACTCTGGTCTCTCTCTCTCTCTCTGGTCTATCCCCATCCATGGTCTCTCTCTGGTGAATCCCTTTCTTTGGTCTCTGGTCTCTCTTGTCTCTCTCTGGTCTCTCTCTGGTCCCTCTCCGATCACCCTTGTCTCTTACCGGCCTCTCTCTCTAGTCTTTCATTCTCTCTCTCTCTCTCTCTCTCTCTCTCTCTGGTCTCTTACTTAATACATGCATAAAACACACAAAACCAGCGTTCTTAAAAGTGAATATATCCTAATAAAAAGTGATACTGCTGTCGTTGTTGCGCCTTCTCATCTAAAGACACGTTGGAGTCGGGAGCGATTCACACGAAGACAAACGGTTCTTACAATTTTAAAATAATGAATCATTTCTAACTGGGAGCGAGAGCCATCCGTCTTCACCTGACATCTCTTAATAAGGTACTTGTGGTAATCGTGTGGGGAGTGATCCTGAGCACAAGACGAATGGATTTAATAAAAGACAGGATTCAGACAGGTTCAAATCCCCACCAGGTCAAACCACTTCATTTCTGCCTCAGCGAGTGTAGGAGCAGTGCTAACCAGTGTATGTTCGATCGTCATCGACGTTATCAAGGGGGACTTTAGCGGCTAATTTTGCATTTTTCAAGCCAGGATGCCTAGTTTTAGTGTCTGGCTCAAAAAGCAGGTTTTGTTTGTTACATGTATGTTTGGCCTCTGCCACATCTTTAGATCAGCCTTTTACAGACAGAGACCATAAAAAAAACAGAGGGAGAGAGACCAGAGGGAGACCAGAGGGAGACCAGAGGGAGACCAGAGAGGCACCAGAGAGACCAGAAAAAACACACAGAGAGAGAGAGGGAGAGAGGAAGAGAAAAGAGAGACCAGGAGAGACAAGAGATTGACCAAAGAGAGACCAAAGATAAGGCCAGATAGACAGAGCGAGAGACCAGAAAGAGAGACCAAAGATAAACCAGACAGATAAGAAGAGAGAATCCAGAGGGATTGACCAGAAGAGAAAGAGAGAGAAAGACCAGAGAGACCAGAGAGACCAGAGAAAGAGAAAGACTCTCTGGTCTCTCTTTGCATATGGCAAAGAGAGACCAGAGGGATAGATCAGAAGAAGAAAGAGAGAGAGAGAGAGACCAGAGGGGTAGACCAGAAGGAGAAAGAGAGAGAGAAAGACCATATAGACCAGAGAGAGAGAAAGACCATATGCAGAGATAGACTAGAGGGATAGGCAAGAAGGAGAAAGAGAGAGAGAAAGACCATATAGACCAGAGAGAGACCAGAGAGACAGAAAGACCATATGCAGAGAAAGACCAGAGGGATAGACCAGAAGGAGAAAGAGAGAGAGAAAGACCGTATAGACCAGAGAGAGACCAAAGAGACAGAAAGACCATACAGTATGCAGAGAGAGACCAGAGGGATAGACCAGAAGGAGAAAGAGTGAGAGAGAGACCAGAGGGGTAGACCAGAAGGAAAAAGAGAGAGAGAAAGACCAGATAGACCACAGAGAGACCAGAGAGGGAGAAAGACCATATACAGAGAGAGACCAGATAGACCAGAGAGTGACGCATGTAGTGTGTGTGAAAACTGGTGGACTGTTTTCAGAAGATTCTAAGATATATTTTTTTGCTTTTAAAGTTGCATATCCCATTTTTAATTTCTATTCTTTAAAGTTAGTTGCGTTTGTACCAATAAAAAAAAAATGATAGCGGGGTCTGGCAGGGGACAGGGTCTACACCACAGCCTCACCCATTTACAGTAAATCTCTCTCTCTCTATCTTTAGGGGGAAAAAAACACATACTGCCACTTCTGTCGCCAATCTCTGGCATCACGATCACCATGACGACGTCTCAAAAATAATGATAAATAATTAGAATATAAGCACATCACTCCTGCTTGGAACCCAGCCCAAAGTTATGACGAACCGCGATCGAGGGACTGCTTTGTCACGGGGGAAGAGTGAATAAGAAGCGCATTAGTGGGTGGTGGCAGCGGTGATGGATACAGTGTCAGGTGAGTCGTGGTCACTGCTCGTTTCGGTCACGGCCAAATTAAAATGTAAACAGGGATCGATACTGGGCACCGCCGGGTCCCAATTAAAGGTCCCGTCCAGAGGGTCCCGCGTTAACTCGTCCCGACAGTATCGAACGACCGCACGAAAAAGAGATGGAGAGATGATTCAGTGAAGGAGTGAGGAGAGAGACTGTCCCCGGCCTGACAGGATTGGGAAAGGGTTAGGACAGGTCTAGGACAAGGCTAGGACAGGGCTAGGAAAGGGCTCAGGACAGGGCGAGGTCAGGGCTAGGATTGAGCTAGGACTGAGCTAGGACAGGGCTAGGACTGGGCTAGAAAAGAGCTAGGATGGGACAAGGAAAGGGCTAAGACAGGGCTAGGACAGGGCTAGGAAAGGGCTTAGGACAGGGCGAGGTCAGGGCTAGGACTGAGCTAGGACAGGGCTTGGACAGGGCTAGAAAAGAGCTAGGACGGGGCTAGGAAAGGGCTAAGACAGGCCTAGGGCAGGGCTAGGACAGAGCTAGGACAGGGCTAGGACAGGGCGAGGTCAGGACTAGGACTGAGCTAGGACTGGGCTAGGACTGGGCTAGGACTGAGCTAGGACTGAGCTAGGACTGGGCTAGGACTGGGCTAGGACTGAGCTAGGAATGAGCTAGGACTGGGCTAGGACTGGGCTAGGACTGGGCTAGACAAGAGCTAGGACAGGGCCAGGAAAGGCTAGGACTGGGCAAAGGCAGGGCTAGGACAAAGCTAGGACTGTGGCTTCGCTAGGGGCCGCGAACCCAGCATGATGGAGGCAGGGGAATACAGACCGCAGGACACCACACTGTCGAGACAGCCAAAATACAGGTTAAGATTTTTCCTTTTTTCCCGCTCTCCTCTTATAAAACTCCTTTTTCTCACTACTTTTTATAAGAACTATATATCTACTGTTTCATTATTATTTGTTCTAAATCTATAATCGCTCTATTACTGCATTATTATTATTAGATCATATTTATTACGTATCCATCCTTCTGATATTTCTGTCATTCACAGTCACTTTATATTCTGCTCATATTCTCCGCTGCTAAACCACAATAAACATCTGTAAATACTTCTGAACCAAGTGCAATTATAGCTCCAGAGTTGTTTTATTTTATTGTATTTTACCGTCTAATTATCTGATTTAAAGTCTAGTGTCTATTATCTTAAATTATCAATCAATCAATCAATCAAAGTTTATTTGTAGAGCGCCTTTCATACACATGGCAACACAAAGCGCTTCACAGTCCACATCATAAATCATCACACAAAAGATTAAAACACAATTAAAACATTAAAATCACACAAAAGAATAAAACCATTAAAACTTTCAAAATTACACAAGAAATTTAAAAAAATAAATAAATGACAGCAGTGCATTAAAAATGGAGATAAAATCCTTCAGTTGTATGCACAGGCAAACAGAACAGTCTTTAACCTGGATTTGAACATTGACAGAGTAGACGCCTCCCTCACATTTTCAGGGAGATTGTTCCAGATCTTAGCTGCATGGATCTGAAATGCAGCCTCCC